TTGCAACAACAACTCCAGCGGTTTGAAACTATATATCTGTTCTTTATCCACTATGTACTATGGACATCCAACAAATGTTTATCGCATGAAATCCATCATGGGTTCAGAAATAGTCCTGTTATAGCTTACTTCTCATCGATTCCCCCAACGAAAACAGCGAGAATTCATATTCGATCGGCGTTGTTCCTCTTCTTCTTGAAATAAAAGTGTAACAGGATACCCAGAGGGCCGAAGCCAGCCAACCATATAGACAACTACCCAAACCTCTCACAAATGTATAATTTAGAAGCAGGTTCAAACATTCTTGCCAACATTACGCATTCTTTCCCTCTCTCTCTTTCTCCTACTTTTTCTTTTTTAATGGCACTCACTGCTAGAGTAGTGAGATAAACAGCGAGAGAATCGCTAAATAGCTCCCCCTCTCTCTCTTCTCTCTCTCTTTCCATCTCTGTCTCTTTCTCTCAACCTCCCTCATCTTTATTTCTCTTTTTATCAGTGGTCTCAGCCCGTCCCTCTTTATTTACTTTTTCTTTGCACTTTCCCTCTTCCTCTTTCTATACGTGCCACTCTCTCCCTCTCTCTCTCCCTCCCTCTCTCCCTCTCTCCCCATCTCTCTCTCGCTCTCTCAACCTCCTTCATCTTTATTTCTCTTTTTATCAGTGGTCTCAGACCGTCTCCCTTTTTTCGTTTTTCTTTTCTCTTTTCCTCTTCCTCTCTGTAGTGTCACTCTCTCCTTTTCCCTATATTTTTGACACTATTTATTTTTCACATGTTCTATCTCGTGCTCTTTTCCTTTCCCTCTGTCATCTTTATTTCTCTTTTTATCTGTGTCTCACTCACTCTCTTTCTCTCACTTTTTCTAATTATTCCCACCCCTCTTTTTTCCTCTTTACCTCTTCCTTTCTTTTTGTATCACTCTCTGTTTTCTTCCCTTTTCCTCTTCTGTTTTATGTCTGTCTCTCCCCTCTCTCTTTTTTGTCTTATCTTTCCCTCTTCTTTTCTGTCTTTCTCTCTCAATTTCCTTCTTCCTCTCTCCCTTTCTTAACCCATTGCTTTTTGTGTGTGTAATTCACTCTCTCTCCCTCTCATTCTCTTTCTCTCGTCTTGTTAGATTTATTGATCAGCATTAAAGAAAAATAATTTCTGTCATACTGGACGGCTTAAATTCCCATTACTGTTGGGTGTCGCTGACGATGGGTCAAACCACTTTACAATACTTTTTTTACATTATTTTAAATTAAATAGCGATAATCTACTGTGTTCAAACGCTAGCGTGACAAATTCGATTCGACCTTAACCACTCACCCACCGCGGTCTTCGAAGTTATAAATAAACTTTCACCATTATAATTTTATATTAAAAGGCGTTGGCCGTTGAGCATCATTTAATGTAAAATAATCTTTCTTTTTCTCCTGTCCCTTTCTTTTATCTATACTTATTTATGGTAGTCTGTAAACCAGATCAGGTATTTTACAAAGCGAGTAGTTAGGCTTATTAATTCTTTTTATAGTCTACTTCAATTGTTTGTAAAAGTCATTAATGAAATTTACACTTCACTACCTCGGATGATTTACGACTAAAAACCAAAAAACCCTGAGTAATAGTGTGTTTTCTCTACTTTCAAATAAAACGGCTATTTCCTTTAGTTAGTTCCATTAGTTTGTTGTACAACCGATTTATCACAAACACGGATAATCTTCAATTTTTAGTTTTTTAATAATTCGTTTTCTTTTTCATTACAGATTTGGGAGTGCAGCGTGCAACGGAATCAGACCTGGTGAGTTCTAGGCGAATTTTTGTTTAATAAAAGAAAAGCGAATAAACAATGCGAATAGTCGTTCCATCCCGCAGGAAACAGGAAGTCTCTGGCTCTGTTACTATTAATTCGACGTCCATAATAATAGCGATTGAAAAATCTCGTTTTATTTTCTGTCTGAGAGTCTACACTAAACATATTTTTCTCCCTTTACGTCGCAATTTTGGTACTGTTAAGGGTAATTTTCGAAAGGTTCTTTCTTTGAGGGATGATGTTGTTTTGAAGAATTAGTCATTCTCAGTTGGATTTATTAATGACGGCTCTCGGTAGAAAATATGCTCACAAGGATAAGAGGGAAAAGAGTTTATTTTCTCTTAAAATTTATATTCTCAGTCGAACGAGTTTCGTATTAGAAAGAAAATTTTGCCCCTAATTTGTCCCATTGTTTTTACCAATATTTGTTTATGCTATATTTTAAATTGGGAATATCAATTAGAGGTAAATACACTTAATCCTTAATCCAAAACAAGATAAAGGATTTTTCAATGTTTACGTTTTATGGAATATAATATGTTTATTCAGTCTCATTTGAATTCTGAAGCAATAAATTGTTTAGTTTTCATCTTTGTTTTCTTAATTTCAATTTTTAAACTTAAAAATGCCACGTAGTGCTGAGGATGTTGCGCGTGGTGTGACACTTATTGATGATGGACGTTCCATCAGATATGCGGCTATTGCCATCGGAGTTCCCTACGAAACTCTGCGAGACGCCGTTAGACGTTTTCGAGAAACTGGGTCCTACCATCGAAAGCTCGATTCTGGACGTTCTAGGGTAACAGAACCACAGGGTGACCTTTTTTTGATAGAATTTCGCGAAACCGGAACCTTACTGTTGTTGAAGCGATTCATCAGCTCAAGGAAGTTCGAGGTGTCCAAATTCTGTACGCGCTGCTGGAAGAAGATTAAATCAGGATGGACTGATGGCTTTTCGCCCCGTAAGAGGACCAGAATTGACCTGAACACAGACTTGCATGGGCTGCATTTGCTCGAGAACACAGCCATTGGTCTTGTACGATTGGTCTGCTGTACTTTTTACAGATGAGTAGATTTGCTCTACGATCTCCAGATGGGCGTGAAAGAGTGCGGATAAGGCGAAATTAAAGGTACCAAGCATGTAATTTTTCCAGAGCCAACCTTTTCAACGTAGCTCAGTGATGTGGGCGGGAATTTCAATGGAGAGTCGCGCAGAGTTGGTTTTTGTTCGTGTTGGAGTTTTGACGGCCACTTTCTATGTCGACGAAATTTTCACGTTCATCGCTTCCTGATACACTCCACGATCTTGAAAGGTCTCTTCGAGAAGAATGGGCTAACAATATATAATACTTGTAATATATACTACAAGTGGGTGAAATTTTTTGCCTGTCAGTGTATATACACTCAAAGACAAAAAAAAAAGAAAATAGACACTCGTTTTGTTGTTTATTTCAACTATATGAATTTTTATTGTTATATTAATTTCGACATACTTACTTTAATGTAAACTAAATTAAACAAGATCAGAAATTCATGAGTTTTAATGAAAATGATCTAATTATGATGGTTTGAATAAAATTCATCAAAACACCGGAAATCATTTACTCATCGATTATTATTTACCTAACAATTTATTACCAGGTTTTCCTTTTAATAACGCGGAGGACCCTAAGTTGTTGATAATAAGCGATTGGATTTTGTCTTGTAAATTCTAAAACGAAACCCATTTTTCAAAAAGAGCGGTTTAGATCTGTTCAACGCTTTTTTGAGGAGATGAACGATGTCTAACCCGTCTCTTTATCATGTCCTATCATAGAAGTAGATGGTGCTGGCCAGTTCATTGTGGTAATCCTTACATCGAGTCGAGCTACATGAGGTAGAGCATTGTCACGCATTAACACGAACTTGTCTTCAATGAACCTTAGTGCACACAAAGATGCACTGTGCGATAGTTCGGTACGGGCACGGATGTCATTTCAACGCCATACCATAACTGACTGTCTTTGAAAAGGTGATTCACGCATGGCACATTAAGCGTTTTCCATGTCTTCTCCACACATGGTCCCGGTCTTCTGATCACCTTCTGATCTGAACTGTCACTCATCTATGAAGAGAACGCTTGTTCAAGTGTCTGAGCGAAATGCTGATTTGCCGATAGTCGCCTTTTCACTCCAGTAGTAAAGAACCTGTGTAAAGAAGCTTTCTGATGCGTTTTTAAGACCTCATCCTTACATTACGGACCGCTTGGAGTTGACAATCTATCAAGGAAGCCGTTAAATGACGGTTACGAGAGTGCGGTAATAGCAATAAGACGATATGACACGACTAGCCGTAGTACGTCGCGGTCGACCACTATCTTCTCCTCCATCTCTTCCGGTGGTCCTAAACCTTAGACCATCGCGGATAGTAGAATGCGGCAAACCCAAGTCTTGGGTTATGTAACAGTCGCTACGTCCGTCGTTAGTCAAAGCATCTACCCGGGCGAGATCTCGACTTTAACCATGCTTTTAAGAAAAGAAAAAGTTTTTTAGTCAAATGTATTGTTTCAAGTAAAACAATATGAAAACTAATTAATTCACTCGATTAGTTGACTCTGGACAGGATGAAAGAAGTGATTTTCTTTATTTTTAATGTAAACATTTCTACCACTCTATAAAGGTAAAAAAAGTTGCTAATAGGTTTACGTTTCAACTCAACTATAAATTCTTTCAATTAATTAATCTTTATGTAAGGTTTTGGTTGAAATGAGAAAGCTAGTGTCTCGAGCGGGATTCGAACCCACGACCTTCGGCTAGATACGCCGCTGCTCTACTACTTGAGCTATCGTGACTTCGATCCACTCGGACACTAACTTCCCATCTCAACCGACCTTTCGAATTCGGTCGTGGGTTCGAATCCCGCTCTCAACCAATACCTTACATAAAGATTAATTAATTGAATGAAGTTATTTGGTCAATCGGATCACGAAATATAATGGAATCAAATATAAATCTTTACATCTAGTTATTATGGAAAATATACAAATAAATACATGTCCTATTTTTTTTCTTCGAGTGTATTTTCCTACTTAGGAAAAATCTGGACAATAAAATCATAAAACTAAATTAATAAATGGAAAGCTAAGGGTTATAAAGTTGCCAAATTATACAATCTAAGCTCTTACGATTTTTCAAAAATTGCCCAATGACGGTTAAAATCAGACAATAAAGTAGGTTATTACAAGGCTTCTTTCTCTTGTCTTATTGTAAAAAATGAATGTGGATTTGTGTCGTTATAAAAGGGAAGATAAAATCAGTTCGAAACTTTTATTCAATCTATGTGATGGTACCATAACCGAATTATGTTCATCTACGTCTGACATTCGATTTTGCAAGCGGCCATGTTCCGACAAGGTATTTTTGTCATGATACCTAACAATTTACCTGTTTTTATAAATTCCTGTTTTTGTTCTGGCTAGGTCCTGCTATTGCCGTGCAACATTTGTACCGCCGGTAAGTTTATTCTATTTTCTCCAGAAAATATGAGCACAAACGTGTTCGTTCTTTATTTATAATTTGATTCGAGCATATGGAACTGATAAACACGCTGTGCTGACTAAATTGTCAATTATTTAATACGAATATTCTAATAGTCATTCCAGTTAATTATTGCGATGTTAATTAGTCTTTGGCTAAAAAAAGTAATAATTAAGACTGTGATAAAAGAAGATATTCTTATCTCAGGCGTGTTTATTCCAAGGCAGGGTTTTTTTTAATTGTAAGGAATTACTACGAAGTTAAATTTAAAAGAAGTGAATCGTTTTCATATATCAATTGAATTTTGCTTTAATAGATGTTTACCCTGTAGCTAGCTATACGAGTAAACAATTCCAACAAGCTGAAACGATATACCTAACAAAAGAGTTTTTCGTTAAAAATAAAAAAGATAAAGCATTTAGTAAATTTAGCGTGAGATATCAAAGATATTTGGCGACCTGAATTTTTTTTTATTGACTCCGAAATATTTATACGGTCATTATTTTTACATCTTATTACGTACTTATTATTATTTTCTAAAAACTAAATATCATACTAATATACACTTTACACAATTACATTAATATTCCTAATGAAACTTTTGGCATTTGATAGTCTGTCGAACAAATTTCTGCGTTCATTTGCATGTTTCTTGCAGTGCATGATGTCTTCGAAATCATCATATGTTCAGCATCTTCACAGCTCGGTGACAGGATTGTATTAAATCCTTGAGATATCCCTTACTATTGGTTTGTAAAATGCCCTGGTTATATTAATTTCTTTGGTCAACCAAGGTTCACGCGCTACCAACGGAAACATATTTTGTATCTTGTCCTTTTGTTATTTGGCAGGTAATTTGCCAATCTATCCGCAGCTGAAATCTTATTGGGTTGTCCGGAAAATAATGCAGGATTTTGGTATTAAACAAAAAAAAAGAAACTAGTTACTTTAAAGCAATGTTCTTTAATCAAAATAATTTCCCATACNATGAGTAATCCTGTAAACGTAAACAGAATATTTTATATAGATTTTTTTTAATGAAAACTTAAAATCCTGCATTATTTTCCGGACAACCCAATAATATAGCATGAAGATCTTTTCTGGGTACAGGCCCCTCCCCTTTGAACCCTGTCTGAACTTTGATATAGGTGATTACTATTTTATGCCCTTTAAACTTGATCATTGCTGCAAGTTCAAGGATTTCAAAAACTATGTAGTTCGCGATATACAACTGTTAAGTTTTTGCACACAATTAAGGTATCTGTACATATGACCACTTTCTGGAATTGTTTGTTGCTCGCATACTTCATAGGTTCCCCTACAGCAACAGGCTGTGTGTATGCAGATAAATACTGTGGGAGTGGAAACATTTTACTGTAGTTCTGTACAGGATCATAAAATTCAAAACCTTCGAGTCCACTTAGGAGTGATCCGTCGGTATAAATAAGAGTCCATCTGGAAATCTCGCACAAAGACCACTTAGCTATTTTTGGGTGATTTTATTCAAGTCATATGTTTTGGAGATGTACGTTGGTATATAATATAGTCGAGTCCTTTCAAAATGTGTATTAAAATAAGGTAAAGGACATAATGATTCGACTGACGATTCGTGTTTGCCTAGATTGGTGGTTCTGTCTTTTTTCTCCAGTGTTTATATGTCAGTACCTCACACGACAAGAGAGCAATGCTGTGGTACAGTTATTTTAATTGTATGTATAAATTAATTCATATTTATTTAGTGGTTCTACTTGACCATATTAATTATTTCAATTAATTATACTTTTTATCTAAGGTCTTGGTTGACATGAAAAAAGTAGTGTCATGAGCGGGATTCGAACCGCTTGAGGCTACGGTGATTCTGTCCCTTCGGACACCAACTTCCTATATCAACCTACAACCGTTCTAATTTTCTCTCTTTTTGCCATATTGTGAAAGGGTGGTTTGTGTGGGAAGTTGGTGTCCGAGGGGATCTACGTCACGATAGCTCAGTGGTTAAAGGAGCGGCGTATTGAGCCGAAGGTCTTGGGTTCGAATCCCGCTAGTGACACTTGTTTTCATCTTAACCAAAAACCTAAGATAAAAAGAATAATTAATTGTATAAATAATGCCTGTTAAATGGATTGTAAATATTTGTTTATATTTTACTTTATAAAATATATATTAATATTCTAAAAGGTTTTAGGGGACACTTAATTCCTATTTCGTTTTATATAGGTCATGTGCACCTCACTCCAGCCACTCTCATCGATTAACTATAGTTACATATACGGCCTCTGGTTTTGTTTTCCAACCCCTCGTTTCAAAGCGCTTCCAGCATGGTTAAAATTGTGAATAATTCAACAATTGATTTTTGTTCAAACATTCGTCTGAATTGATTAAAATAAAAAAAAATTACCTTCTACGTTAGTGTTTTTGACTCGTCGAGGGCGTTTCTTTTTTTCCAGGCTTCACCAGCCCAGTACGAGTTAATGCGATGTGCTCGAGATTTATTTAAGATTTTTCTCCCCCATAGTTCCGGCCGTTTTTATACGTGCGAGGACCCTTTGTTTATCGGAGCGTGAATTACCTCTGGCCCTCGACACGCTCAGCTCCTTCACAGTTCGAGTTCAACCCGGCGATGATTGCTGGAAAACAAACAACACAAAGGTTAAAGATAAATTTCGTCTTGTCAAAAGATGCTGATTTATTTGACAGCTGTTCTGTCTTTGATGGACGTTCTTTAAACAGAAACATCTTATATATACTACTTTCCTATTGAATGTATGTGATCGTTAGGATTTGTTGTCTATGTTTCCTTGCTTCTGAGCAAAACATGACATCACTGACCATCATACACTGAGAGGCAAAAAAAAGTGGCCACCCTTAATATTTTTAATTATTTCTTAGACAATCCTCCATTGATTATCTTACAACAATATTTGGTTTTATTTAAATGATTAGACGTAAATAAAACACAGATGCAATCTCCCACCTGCATGGGTTTTATAAATAAATCTTGGAATAGCCAATCTCTTCTTTCAAGCTTCTTTCTAAATTAATCTATATGTAAGGTATTGATTGAAATAAAAAAGCCAGTGATGAGCGGGATTCGAACCCATGACCTTGGGCTAAATACGCTTCAGCTGTACTGCTTGAGCTATCGTGACTTCGACCACTCGGACACCAATTTCCCATCTCAACCCCACCTTTTGAATTTTCTCTCCTTTTTGCCATTTTTCAAATGTCGTGTAATCTGTTCGATCCTCGACGACAAATGAAATGGGCAGGGAGAGCTTTAATGAAGATATACTTAATTTTACTTATTAAATCCATTAGATTTCGTGGTCCGATTGACCAAATAACTTCTTTTAATTAATTAATCTATATCTAAGGTACCTATGTATGTGCCTTATATATAGATTAATTAATTGAAAGAAGTTATTTGGCCAATCGTACCGCGAAATCTAATGGACTTCTTTCTAAAATTCCGGTGATTTGATTTTTTTAAAATTGTATTCTTTTTAAGTTTCAAATTTGGTTGATGGTTTCAAGCGATACAGATTCGGCTAGAATCGTAGCATTCATGGAAGATGGATGAAGTGAAGAGTATGTGGCCAGGGTGCTTATCATTCCCAGAAGGGTCTTCAACTGGCACCTAGATACTCAAGGAGGTTACTCAAGAAGGCATGAATCACCATCTTCCCTAATGTACTTTTTAATTTACATTCTACCGCTGTTGAGGTGAAAAAACGAAGACTTTCCGAAGCTAGAATGCGTGCGAAAAAACGTGCTACTGGTCCAAAACTTCTTACAAGGCACAGAACAACTCGGTTAAGTTTCGGAAGAAATCACATCTATTGGTCTGAGTAAGATTGGACTATAATGTTATTTCCGGATGACAAGGTTTTGTTTGAGGTCTTTTGACAGCAGAGAGAGAGAGGATTTGGAGAAGAACAGGAGAGCGATATATAATCGCATTTTCACTCCGGAGAAGCTTTGGTGGTGTTACGGTTTGGGCAGGCTGTGGACGATTGCACAAACTTGATCTTCATCGAGGGTTCCTTAACAGCTGCCCGATACATTATGTATTATCAGAAAAATACAAGATGTAGCTAAAAAACATTAAATTGAATAAAACATTTTTACCAAAAATGTTGCTACGGAAACAATGAAGAAAATAAGATAGTTCCTCCTCACTGTAAGTTGTTTTCCACCAATCCGGATTTTGAGCCCTTAGCTCATCATCAGGTAGAAGGATTTCTACAACCACGTCTCTCGACATGAATTGCAAAAGTGAACCCGCCGATAGCCCGCCAATGCGACGATCCAAAGAGAAGCTGATTTTTTAATGGCGCTCAATTTGAACGTGCGAAAACTATCGGCGGGTTCACTTTTGCAATTCATGTTGAGAGACGTGGTTATAGAAATTTTTCAACCTGATGATGAGCTAAGGGCTCGAAATCCGGATCGTTTTAAACAACTTACTGTAAGTAGGAACTATCTTTCTTAAAAAAGGATTGAACATCGCACTCACTCCATCATGCATCATTTCTACGAAGAAAATATTCAATTCAGTACGGAGTATTTCTTCCTATTGTGGTGATCACCGCTTGGATTCGACGTGGTATCGATTTTATGAGGTTTTGAATGTAGTGCTGTGGAATATTTTCATACTTTTCCAACAGCGCCATTTGCTTTTATGCATGTTAATTAAAGGATTTATATGCGCATTGTTAAATAATTTCCGTTCATTCATAATTATAATACACAATTCGTATGCATGATGTTATATTTTAATTTCGTTATATGTACAATATTACATTCGTACATCAAGGGTGCTCGTGAACAGACGTGAATACTTCAGGATGTTAGTCTACATGTCAAATGTGACTACAAAGTCCATATTGACTATAAACTTTGTCAATTTTATTCCAGATATTTCACTTTTCGTGTTACTTGAACCTTTCCCAACGTTTCCCATAACGCCCAACATAGGT